CACACCCATAACACTGATGTAACACACATCCCTCATTGTAATACACTTTGAAATAACACACACCCCTTGTGGTAACACTCTGCTATAATACACACCCCTAACAGTAATACTCTGATTTGACACATAGCCTTAACAGTAATACTTTGATGTAACACACAACCCTCACTGTGACAGTAATGTAACACACGGCCCACCTTGTGCCACTCTGATGGAATATGCATCCCTTGCTGCAACACTATGGTATAACACACACCCCTCACTGTGACACAGATATAAAACACATGACTCACTGTAAAACTGATGTAATGCACAGTCTCATTGATGTAGCACGCGTGCCTCAGTGTTACAATTATCTAACATCCACCTCTCACTGTAAGACTGATGACCCACCCATCACACTGTAACACTGATATAACACACCCGCCTCACTCTAGCACTGATGTAACACACCCGCCTCACTCTAGCACTGATGTAACACACCCGCCTCATTCTAACACTCTTATAAAACACCCACCTCACTCTACACTATGATAATAGTACAAGACTCATCACAGTAATGGTCTGCATGCGCCTCTCACTGTAGCACACACCTATAAGACACACACTGATAGTAACAGACATTTTACTGTAATGTTCTGCTGTAATATACAACTATTACTGTAACATTTTTCTAAAATGCACCCAGATTATAAATACTGATGTAACACACCCTCACTCTTATCACGCTATCTGATATAACTCACACCCCTCGTTATTACACCGATATAAACACATACTGTAATACTCCTCTCAGTATAATACTGTTCCACAACAAACACCCTTCACTGTTTCAGTCTTTTATAAAGGACAACCTGCACTGTAAGACTGATATAACACCCACCACTTGTTTTAACATACTAATATAGCAGATGTCCCTCACTGTTACACTGATATAGCATGCACCCTCACTGTAGCACTCAAATGTAAGGAACACTTCTCACTGTAACATTCTGATATAACATTCACCCATCACAACTACACTAACATAACATATAGTCCCTCATTTCCCCCTTTAATACATCTTTATATAAAATACAAACCTCTGTAAGACTGATATAATATATATTTCTATAGCCACTACTTTCTGTTACACTAATAATAGCAGACGTCCCTCACTATTACACTGATATAGCACATTACCTCATTCTAGCATTCAGGTATAAGACACACTTCTTACTATAACACTCAAATATAGAACATACATCTCATTGCTACACTGATCAAACACACACCTTATGTATGCACCATGTGCACTTTAATATAACACATTTCCACTCATTGTAACACTGTGATCCAACAGCCCCAAGTATAAAATCTTGATATAATATGCAATATTACTGTACCATTTTGATAACAGTTTCCTACTGTAACACTGATGTAATACACATCACTCACTGTAACACTCTGATAAAATATATACTCCTCACTGTAACACATTTATTTGACACATAACCCCTCAGTGTTGCAATGAGCAAAACTAATCTAACAATTTAATATATCATACTGCTCATGTTGATACTGATAGAAAACATGCACCTCTCTGTAACACTCTAATATATGCACACCTATTCATATATATTCACTATAACCTGCTTAGATAATACAGACCCCGCTACTGTAACAAACTGATATAACATACACACCTCATTGCGATGCTCTGAGAGATCACACACATAATTGCAACATTATGATATAACACACATATAACAAACACCCCTCATTGTAACAGACGTATAACAAAACACACCTTTCCTTGTAATACTGATATAACATCCATCCCTTCTTACAACATGTTAATAAAGCATGTCTCCCCATTGTAAGATTCTGATGTAACACACAAGCCTCGCTATTGTTTCTGCTATAACACACCCTCACACTGTTACACTGATCTCATTGTAGCATTTCAATATAACATAGATTTCACTGTAACACTGATAGAACACACAGTCTTCACAGTAATATTGATATGATACACACCACACATTGTAATACTCTGATATAAAGCACAAGTCTCTCTATTACATCCAAATATTAAATAATCCATACACCATAACAAATTGTTTTAGACTCCACTCCCCCATGTAATACATTCATTGTGATACACTGATATGGTACAGACACACATACACACACACATCTTGATCTGACACTGAAATTACACATGAACGTCACTGTAAGATGCTTACATAACACATAACTCTTCAGTTACACTGACCTAACAAACATCTCTTATTCTGTACATTAATGTAACACTCACCCACTCACTGTAAGACTGATATAATACACATTTCTCACTATAACACTCTGATAATAACACACATCCTTGCTGTTATAGCCTTATATAACACACAACCTTCATTGTAACTGCAGTGTCAGTGTAACTCCATTATTTAAGACACACTGATCACTGTAACACTCAAAATAAACCACAGCTCTCCACAGAACACACTAATATGGGATATGCTATACACTGTAATAAACTGATATAAAACATATCCCTCACTGTATCACTCTGTCAATAGATACACCACTTGCTGCAAGACACTGATATAATACACTGCCCTCATTGTGACACTGTGATATGACATCCTTCAGGTGATACAGGTTGCATCCTGATATAATACACTCCTCACTGTGACGTAACACAACTCTTGCCGTGACATCATGTTATAAGACAGTTCTTACTGTAACACTGATAATAACACACACCCCTCACCATGACACTCTGATATGACATGCACGCCTCACCGTGAAACTCTGATATAACACACACACACCCCTCACCATGACTCTGTGATATAACACACACCCCTCACTGTGGTTAACACACAGCCCTCACTGTGACACTGTGATGACACACATCCCTCACCGTTACTCTCTGATATAACACACACCCCCCTCACCATGACACTCTGATATAACTGATATTCCTCACTGTGATACAACACACATCCCTCTCTGTGATATAACACCTATCCCTCACCGTGAGTCTGTGATATAACACACATCCCTCACCGTGACAACAAGGTGTAGAGCTGGATGAACACAGCAGGCCAAGCAGCATC